AAGCAAATATATGAGTTGCATGCGTTTTATCGGTAGCGGGAGTTATATGAATTTTACGACATATATGAATTATGTAAATCAACTATATTTTACTACGGGAGGCTTTATGGTCTAATATACGTACATTATGGTATCCGCGATAAAACTTGACCGGAGTCGATAGGTCTTGAGAATTAATTTCGAAAATAATTTACGTGAAAGCCACCGCTGGCGTTTACACGTGATTTTAAAGTCGATCATTGCCGTGTCCTCTATAATCATCGAACGATTTTATAAAGTGTCCGAGATATAGCTGTGTCTGCTTACAATACACGCGCATAATCGATTGACTGCCTACCTGCACGGGGAATTTACGATAATGACTGATTACGTGTACTACGGAACGGGAACTGTTTCGCTGCACGTGAAGTAGCTTAATGGAGTCGCGATAATTAATGAAATTATTGCATAATCATTACCTCGGAAAAGTTCGGTTCACCCGAACGGAAAACACGCGCGAATTGATTAGATTGCAATGTATCGGCTCGACGAACCTCGTAGGTTCAATTATTCGCGTAAAACAAAGCTCTTTCGTGTGAAAAAAAAAAAACGAAAGAGGCGTATCGTTGCAGCGGTACGTTCGAGAATTTTTTAATTTTGTAAAAGAAACATCGAACTCGAATCGCGACCGTTCATCGGGGTTTTCGCGTGGGGAGAAAAATATTACTCGATCACGTGGTTCTGTCGACTAATGCGCAGTCGGATTTAATATGGAGGTTTTTGCTGCACACGCGAAACCCATATGGATGTAAAGTTTCTTTGATCGATTGCTAATATTGCCCCCGCGGCTATCTATTACCCGGGCCTCGAATATTGCCCATAATACCCGGATACCGTACTTCGGGATCAGCTTGATGATTTCCGCCCCCGCGGAGGAATACGTCGCATCGATATCATCCTGATTCTCGCTTGGAAAATTATACGGGAAAACGTTCCCTCGTAGAGTCTGGAATTGCACGAGAAAATCTTCGATAATTTTCCTTCCTTTCGATAATTAGCGACGCTCCGGGATCGAGGGGTCATCGAATCCGAACCACGAGAAGCAATTTTTCCATTTCTACCGTGAATGGAGCGTTAGAAACTTGGAATATTGAAAAAAATATTGGAATATTAAACATTTCCTGGTTTAAGCTCGTACGACAATGCGTTTATTTCTGTTAGTTTTACGTTCGTTTTGTTGCTAAATGCCTACTTATCGGAACGAATTATTCCCTCGTAAAGTGCTTCGTTCATTCCAGGCAAGTTTCGAAGCGTCCGTTGCGTTTCAGGTTATTTTACAACGAAACAAAAGGGAGTAGACGGAACAAAACGAACGATCCTGCCATGATTAAACAAATTTTACTGATACCTTCTCCCTCGTTCTTTTGCGGCGAAGGGGAAACGAATGAGCTGGTGAAAACGAATAATGGTCAGCGGAAAATACTGTTCCGCCGTACCGACGTTAATTCCGCGAAAGAAAAACACCGGTTCTTTTCGCGCTTAACTCGCAGAATATTGTGCCCGCCGCGCGGAAAAAGGACGACATTTTCCTCTCGAGGCTACGATTTCCTTGGTTTAATTAAATCGTCTGCAACGACGTTTCGAGCTACGGGCTCAAAGAACCCTGTAACATACTCAACTATTTAAACGACCCTGAAATATTAAGTTAGTCCGATGCAGATTAGCGCAAGGAGGAAAATTTCCCGTGCTTTCCCTTTAAACTTCGCTCCCCTGGGTTTCCCAAAAATCGACCAATTGCCATGGTTCGAATTTTAACGAAACATTTGATAAATCGAATCATATTTATTTCTTAAACTAGAAAGCAATACGAAGCCTTGTTACGATAGAAACGATAACTGGGTATAATGTCGAAGGTTAGTCAAGAGAGTCGCGAAACACTTCGTTGATAAAAGTAATTAAATTCGTGACGTTCCTAAAATTCATAACGCGTCGCTCACGGACAGTTAATTTTCATTATGAAGTACCTTCAAAGGAAACATCAGTTACAATTCTGCCAGGTCGAGAGCTCTTCATCAACTACAAAGGTACACGAAGTCATGTTCATCTCCTAAATTTATCGCAAATTGAGTAACGCTTCTAGGAGATTCGATTAAGGGACAGGTGTTGCAAACTACTAGACAATTACTCTACCAGGAATTACTATTTACCTTCCATTGCGTTGATTTTAGTTTTCAAACTAAACGATCGATGGCTGAAAACAAAGGGGTTAATTCGTTTGATACAACTTCCGACTTAAACATTTATTAAAAATATTTGCTAATGCGATAGTCGAATAAAATGGTCGCTATATTATTCACTGAAGATTGAATTTGAATTTTCTCCGAGGTTCTTCGTTGCATTTCTTTATATTTCCTCGTTTGTATTTCCAATTTTGGCGTAACCAGTTCGTGGTCGAATCGCGTTCCCATTGTCCGCAATTGGACTATACGTTTCCCTCGATGGTTGACAGCGATAACGCACAATAATATGAAGCCGTACGCAAAGTCGGTGTCGTCTCCGTGTAGTACGTCGAAAGGGCTGTAACCAGATATAGGCTAATCTCGTTTCACATAGGTTTCCTCCGCCACCCAGCCCCTTCACCTGCCGTGCTTTTCGACGAGCGTCAACCCTTGAAGTTTAAAGAAATTAATCGGACAGAATAACGATGTAAGCCCACCGATGTAAGCTTTCACGCCAGAGGAACGAGAGAAAAGCACCGGAAGGGATTGATCCAAGACCGTCGATTCGAGGGGGTCGATTTTGCCACCCCCCGTACCATTTAAAATTATAGACAATGTCGAAACTCAAACACGAAAACATAGTCTCCTGATTTTAGAATCTCAACGGCTTCGAAAAGCTTTAAATACCAATTTTTATGGTAGAATAATTTTTTCGCATACAAGGACTTTTGCATTTTGAATTATGCAGCTTTTTCTTTACACTCGTAATCAGCGAACCCAAAAATCCGCCCAATGTTCATGCAAATCTGGAAACTCCTATTTTTTGCCATGCTTTCCGGATTTCAGACCGCCCTGCGTCGTTCGGCTGTTATTTTACAAAAATTACAACCATTCGTTCCAATGTTTAAACGCATTATTTGCGTTACTAATAAAATATTGTCGTAGCCGTTGTCAAATATGCCGCTCAGCTCCATGCGCTACAACTTCGACTGTACTTTGTCCCACGGGTATTTCGCGATATTTTTTCAGGCGTTAAAAATAAGATAAAGTTGGTAATTCTTTCTCTAATATTTTACATACAGGGATCTTCTTCGACCAGAAATCAATATCAATGCATTAACACACTATCGGCGGATAATACCCGACCCGCGTTTAGCGCCAGTCTGTGGAAAACGTATTAATACCCTTCCCGCCGATAGTGTGTTAATGGGGCCATAATCGGGAGAGAAGTTAAAACTTCCGCGAAACAGAAAGTTCTTAATGATACAGAAAATCTTTATCATAGAGAAAACTACGAGGCAAGCTATATCGTAATTAATAAATACTGGTTTGAAAGTTTCGTCAGCAAGACAGGACAGGGTTATAAGACGATCCTCGAGAAAGAGTCAAACAACCGTGAAGTTAAACGCTTAACAACGGGAAGTTCGCAGCCTTCTTATTTATTAACGCTGAAAGTTCCCAAGGAACGTTTGCAGTATTCCGTTGACGTACGAATTATCTTTCTCTGCAGCATAGGGCGGAAGTATCGACGTGGATGATAAAAAAACGCAGCTGTCGATAGAGTGAACGACAAAGAAACTCGTCGATATATATCTTCGTTGCAGCGAGATGAAAGCCATTCGTCAAAGTTCGAGCGTCGCTGTCTCTGTCGCATTTGTTCGACAGTTACACCGGATACGAACGAATCGCAATTAATAACGCCGCGAGGAAAGGAGGGAAACGGAAAGTTTGATTTAAATGTATGTTCGTTTGGAAATCCACGCGAAAGCGAATCGATCGCGTTCGAGCCAGGGACGTCTTGCAAATCGTGCACCACGATCGTTTCAACGCTTTTGATCCAATCCTCCGTAGCTGGAGATCGGACAAATTACAAAGGAACTTCAAAAAGAAGAGTTCCCTTTAACACTTGTTTAGTCGCGTTGGCGAGATGTTAGTCACATTTCTGTAATGTAACGTAAGCGTTGCATCTATGTGGCAAAATTAAAAATTACAACAGAGGAAGTCTTCTTGAGGACCCTTAACACTAGGACTATTATAGTGTATTTATTTGTACCAAATAAATTAAAACGGTGGATACGCGAAGAAATGTACACTGTAATGAAAATAAATGTTTATTCATTCTCTTGTAGAAATTTATGGTTCAAAAATATTTTGTACGTTTTACTAGAAATTACGAATGGGTCATTTTGACTGCTTTGGTAGTTTGTAATGTACTTGACCCATCTTTAATTTTACATGGTATATAAAAGCAAAATACACTTGTAAGTTAGCGAACGATACTGTTGCAGGACTCGATAAGAAAATGGTGTATCGAGCTCGAACTTTTAATTCCCCTCTTCTTTTCGCGATTTTTTCGCTCGGCTGGCAAGGTTGTCGAAGCGTAGGAGCTTCGTTGTTCGCCGTCCCAAACACCGGCAGCCGTGATCCAACCGCGTACGTGTAAGCCGAGACCTCAAAAGAGGCCGGGAACTTGTAGACTTGCGGTCACACGTCGTCGGCTATCGATCGTTCGACGCCACTTTGTGGCGTGTGTGTCTCGTGACGAGAGAACGAACGACCGAGGCTACCTGGGCTACACAGATCACTCGATCGTATCGACTGACCGGTTATTTGCGGGAACATGATGCTGGTAAATATTGCTGTGAAATACGCTCGACAAAGGCTGTGCTTTGTGCGCTTAAAAACGAAATTTCGTGAAATTATTCGTTGCGAAAAGATATTCCATTCTCGTCGATCGTTTCCACGATGGTACGGAGACGTCGTTTCGCCGACTTAAACGATTATTTTAATTCGCCATCTCTTAGGATCAGCGACTGGGCTGATTAATAGAAAAGCGCGCTGATTTATACCGCGAGATCCGGAAATCCGTGGGAGGACAGTCGCGTGGATTTACGAGCTGCCGATGTATCCAGGCGATCCGCGACCTGGAAAAAGAAACGAATCACAAGAAACGGGGGCTGGAGTGTTCGTTTGTGGGATCTGGTGGGAATATTTGACGCTCGACGGTGTCGATTTCGAGGTGCGCGACGCGGCCGGGGGCGGATCCGGTGTCGGCGCGTTGATAGAAATGCAAATTTACGTCGCGTCGGCGACGAGGGGGTGGGGGCAGGGGTCGCGGAATCGAACGGGGTTACACGGATACACGGGGTTTCACGGACCCAATTACACGTGTGACGATCAACACGCCGCTGTAACAGTATGATTAGGGGGATACGGCCAGCAGCTCGTTCGCTCGCGCGCCTATCGACAACCAACAGGGATGAATATCGGCGTCCAATAATAGACTGCCCTTTGCGGCCGCTTAAAGTGATAAACGGAAAGATTCAGAGCGACGTGGCGCCCGCGATCGATGCACTCGTTTATCAGGAAGACGCTCTCGTCAATGAACGTGTCGCGGTCGGTTCGTAGATAAGACCTACTCCGCGTATTTGCGCGATATTTTTCTATTTGAGCTTTCTCCACGATAGAATGCTCGTTATCCGTGTTTCGTGGAGAATTTTATATCCACTGGACCATCCAAGTTGAACGATTTTGTAACGCGTTCACACATTTTTCATTTTCGATGGAAGATTTGGAGATTCGAAGAACAGGAACGTAAGGTAATTCTCTTTGATTAATAACTTTGCGAAAATACCCTTCTTCGGTTAACGACGTCGAAGCTAGCAGATACACAGAACCTTTATACCCATTTTAATACTTCAAGGAAGGCGTGCTCTTTGAGGTTTTTGCGTTTCTCCTCTTACTTTTTGAAATGGCTCGTATTTCTTTCCGACGTATTTAGCGTAATTCCGCGTTTGTCTCTTCCATTAAAAGTAGACGGTTTGCCTTCAAAGATAAAACACTGTACCGGTTGTCGCATACCACCCGACCTGGGGCCAAGGTCAGGTTGTATCATTGATACAGGGGTGGCACGGAAAAAGAATTTTATGCAACAAAATTAAATATCCCAAAGTCTCGTGTTACCATTATGCATCTCTTTGTGCACGGTTTGCAAACGCGAATAATTGCGTACAGAGGAGGGTGTGTATGTATGTCAAAAGACGCGAATACTGCTTTACAAACTTACGTAACCTGGTATCATTTTACAGCGATACTCTGATACTTTCTTCTATACGCGTGAAACCAAATACGGTTGCAGTGTCATCGAACCGACAGCTAAAAATAATTCTTATCTCCTCTATTATTATCAATACTACGTGTTGTATCATCGCGAGATTAAAATGAGTCTATAAAATGTTACTATCTTGCTTAGCGTTAGTATTTCTATTGTTGCTACCATATAATCTAATTGTATTATCTTGCTTGTTACATCATATTTAGGAGTATTTATCGACTAAAGACTTTACAATAGCTTCCACGACGAGACGAGAATGAAGATTGTTTGCACTGTCTTGAGAATCCTCGAGAAAGTAAACTCTTACGTTATTAACAGAGGATTACGGTAAACGTATTTTCCCAGCGCGCGTGCAAGGTATCGTTTTCATGCACGTATTCGTCGAACGAGTTCGCCTAAACGCACCGTGTGCTGTGCACCCGCGACGCGATGTTAGCAGTAACAATGCTCTCGCGCTTTTCCGTTCTTCTACGATAAACGGATATTGCGCGTTGGAACGCAACGCTGAATTTAGAAAGAGAGAATATTCACACACACACACACACACACACACACTGGGGCTTCGATTGCCGGTGTACGTGCGTGATTTCGTGCGCGTGATCCGTGCAAAACGATTTCACCGAGCAGAAGTTCGAGTTAGTTTCCAAGCATATAAAATAGACGGAGCATTCGAAGTCTATAGTTCCTTTGCGCACCCTAGAATCAGCTATCCGTGAAATTAAGTAAACTTGCAATACCTTCTGCCGAGAAATTCTTTTCATCCCTTACGCGGAGAAATGAAATGCTTCACGCATCGTGGATCTAATTTACCATACTCAGGAAACACGTTTCGTGTCAGTCTGATATCGAGGAAGTACGGTTAAAAAATACGATTTATTTTTGGTATTTTGAGACCATTCGGGAATATTGTATCTCGCAAGATTTCGATCTTTATTCTCGCGTGGAATTCTAAATTTTTGGATTTCTTATCAAAATGGTTCGAGCCGGCGACAAATCCGCAACATCGTCCCGCGAATTCTGTCAGAAATAAGAGAAAGAGGAACATAATGGAAACCTACATTCGCCGCAGAAAATATTTGAACGCGTTCGAGCCGCTGTACGCGTAAAAATACGGCTGGCGCGGTGCCAGCTCGGACAATTCGCTCGTAAATATACGCCCGGTCAGGTTAAACGGTTAATTTAACGTCACCAATTTACTGAGTCTGGCCGCGAATTAGCGGCGATCTATAGAACATCACAACTAAATTTGCATCAATGGGAAAAAGTCTTATACCGTTCTGTCGAGCTATTACGAGTCCTTTCTATGTTGGGTAATTCGAATAAAGACAAAATATTATTTCGGACGCTCCCCCTCTCCTTTCCTTTTTACTTTCTATTGCAATTTCGATTACTCGCTTCCTTCGTAAAGCAAATAGACACAAAATTATACGAATAATTTACTTTTACAAGATGTAATATTTTAATAAACGGTCCCATAATGCATATTGAAAGTACCAAAACTTTAGACGCGTGTAGTTCCGAAATTACTAGTGTTCTATTTATTATTGAGCCACTGTTGGAAGCGGTAAAGCTTCCTTTTCAAACTGGCTTTTGGTTTTTGGCGATCCGACTTTCCGTTTTCGAGATATCGTAATTTATGTGAAAAGGTAATTTTTAAAAATCCGCTCTTCGTCTTACGAAAGCCTATTAACGCGTATTAAAAGTAATAAAACTTTAGACGCGTACAGTTCCGAAGCTACTAGTGCTTTATCCATTATTGAGCCATCGTTGGAAGCGGTAAACCTTCCCCTTTAAAACGGTTTTTGGTTTTTGGCGATCCGACTTTCCGTTTTCGAGATATCGTAATTTATGTAAAGGGATAATTTTTCTTAATTCGACTATCTCTGTCTTCGTCTGACGCGTCGCACCGGACCTCTCTTTCTCGCACGTGACTCGCGACCGAGTGGCCGAGTGACCTAGTTTCTCCGAGCACGTGCGGTCAACGACCTTGACAAGGCCGTAGTAAGAAAGTAAACAAACGCTTCGAACACGTATATCTCCGAAATTAGCCACCGCATCGACTTGAAACTAAAATCGTTATATCTCGGGAACTAATAGAGCTATCAACTTGTTCGAACGCTCGTTTTAAAGGGCATTTCATCCCCTATCCGATGACTATACCAACTACTACAATTTATGCCATCTTCTATGTTTATTTTGACATTTACTCCGACGCTTTAGAGGGAGTTCATTTTAACCACCGAATTTTGAAGCATTTACACTAATCTGACAAAAAAATGTTTCCAATAAACGCTAACGAGTACTTTTCGAAGAACAGAATGCAATAGTAAAAATTTGGAAAAATTGCAATCGAAAAGCGTAAACGTGCTCGCTAAGTTCAAGTAACTGTCAGGCCCATATATTTATACACTAATAACATTTATTACAGCCTGTACGTCTCTCACAGGTAGTCTTTCGACCACCTACACCCTAGACCCTTAATTTCCTGACAACTGAACCACGTCTAAATCCAGTGAACGTAACGATGGTCCAGCCAAAATTTGCCGTGGTATGAAAAAGGCTAGAAATCACTTGCAGTTAATTTAACGTGACCAATTTACCGGGCGTCCTCGGGAGTTAGGAACGATCTATGGAACGCGTCGCGAGACCGCGAGGATCTTGACCTACGACGTTCTCGGAGCGCCGTATCGCGATCCGCTCGCGGGATTTCGGAATAAATTGACCAGCGTCGCCGTCGGCGGTTGTTTATTTTCGAAATTAAATTGAATTGGCCCATAACTTGCTGGTCTATTAGCCCTGGGGACCGGGGTAGTTTGCCCGTAAATCTCCTGAGTATCGGCACGGGTGGTGGCATACACACGCCGAACGATAGAGCGAGAGAAACGAAAAGAGACGACGCCGTGCTAGCAAGGCGAAAGAGAGACGAAGCGGGGTGGTGGATGGTGGTTGCCACGGGGGTGTGGGGATTCGATTCGCCCCCGACAATGCGTCCGGAAGCTCCGAGGAAATACATGGGCGTGGTGCCGAGATAAATGTACTCTTGCATTTGCATAGTTACCTCTCGTCCTCGGCCTCCATATCCACTCAATGTTCGTTCTCCTTTTCAGATTCTATATCCGCGCGCGTTCAACCCTTCCCTGGCTGGACGACTCCCTAACGCTATGCCCTCGACGGTGTCTTTACAAACTGGCGCGAGAAAAGCGCGCCCTTGGATATTTTGAATCGTTTCCCGCGACCCTGACAGTTCTTTATTTTCCCGGCCAGGCAGTTCTGTCGGTCTCGTGACTTCTCTCGATTTCGACTATTTCGCTCCAGTCTTATTTTTGAAGCTACCATTTGACGCTGAGACGAGATACCAATCGTGGAGACACGGAGAGATACTGTATTTGGTGATATTTTACTTTTTCGAGACTGTTGGGGCACATATGTTCCTGTCAAGTATTTAACAAAATTTCTTTTTACTACTACACGTGTATCAGACCTTAACAAATTGAAGAGACCATATTTATTTAATACTCGTGTTGATTAGATCTCTATTTGCCCTTCTATCTCAGAAATAATTTATCAAAATACACGATGCCGCCAAATATGAGAATCGAATACGTTCCGATGTCAATATCGGTGTTATTCGAGCGCAATTATTTAATGCTCGCAAATAACGCGGTCGAATCACGTTCCCCAGTCGCGGAGAGACTATCACGATATCAAATCCAAACAATACAACAAATTGTCCTGGGCGGTTGAAAGACAACAACAACATCGACGAACCGGAAGCCCGCCTCGAAATTCACCGGAGGTGAATCCTGTTTC